AGAACTGCAGATGCCGGAGTCAGAGATAACACAGGGTGGAGCTGGAGGAACACAGCAGGCCAGGCAGCATCTGAGGGGCAGGAAAGCTAATGTTTCGGGTTGGGACCTGAAGAAGAGTCCCAATCCGAAACGTCAGCTTTCCTGCTGCTCTGATGCTGCCTGGCCTGCTGTGTTCTTCCAGCTCCACACTGTGTAACTCAAACCAAGACCTAGTTCCAACTGACCAGCCCCTGAATCAAGGATCACCACGGTCAACAATGATGCAAGATCACTGTGAAAGAAAACTCAGAGGAATTTTGAGAAAGTCACCTCATTTCCCTTTGTGGTTTGGACTCTTAGTCCACAAACTTCAAATTCCTGAAAAGCTGTTCATCTCTTTTGCTCTAATTGAGTGTTTGTGAATGGATGTGTGCAAGTTTGGATTTTAAAGAGTGCAAAGTCTAAGTTTGCATATGTGAGAGGATAAGGATGATAAACAAGAAGCTGTTGAGTTGTTTATTAATGAAACCTGCTGTGAGCTAATGAAATCTCACTGGGAAGTGCAGGGCAAGTCAAGTCCCATTATTCCCAGATTCATAAGAACAGTTCAATATTGTAAAAAAGTGAACAGAGTTACACAATTTCTGTCTCTTTTGATGACAAAAAGCATATACCAGGTTTCTGGACTGAACAAGAATCAATACATTCTAGTTACACATACACAATTATGAACCATTGTTGTATAGCTCACCTAATTAAACCTTTTATAAACTCATGTTACACACACAAATACACCTCCGACAGTGCCCGCTCCCTCAGCACTGACCCTCTGACAGTGCCCACTCCGTCAGCACTGAACCTCTGACAGAATAGAATCCCTGCAGTGTGGAAACAGGCCCTTCGGCCCAACAAGTCCAAACTGACCCACAGAGCATCCCACCCAGACCCAACCCCCTATAACCCACCTAATCTACACATCCTGAACACCACGGGCAATTTATCATGGCCAATCCACCTAACCTGCACATCTTTGGACTGTGGGAGGAAACCAGAGCACCTGGAGGAAACCCACACAAACACAGGGAGAATGTGCAAACTCCACACAGACACGGGGAGAATGTGCAAACTCCACAGACAGTCACCCGAGGCTGGAATCGAACCCAGGTTCCTGGCACTGTGAGGCAGCAGTGCTAACCACTGAGCCACCGTGCTCTGCAATGACCCTCTGACAGAATGGTGCTCCATCTGCAATGACCCTCTGACAGAATGGTGCTCCATCTGCCATGATCCACATACAGATGGACACTGACAGAAAACTAATGTTGATGTTACAGTTGAAAGGCCAAGAAAAACTGGAGAGCAGTTCTGGGGCCCCTGACCTCTAGGTTCACTGCGATGATGGTTCTGTTTGCCAGGGTTCACTGTTCTTCAATCTCCCTCCTCCCGGTCCCTTTCACCTCTTCACAAGAAGCACAGATCGACTGGTATATTCACTGTAAAGTCTCTTGTTACAACTTAAAGCCACAGCTTACAACAACTGATGAGAGATAATAAACTGGCTCTCTTCAGGTTTTAAGTATTTTATTGGAAAGAAAGACACACCCACTTCCCTGCCTGATGTCCTGAAATTTCTGCTAGTATCATTCACACCCACAAGCTGATTCAAAGGACCATAATATATAGGAGGTCGAATTAGGTCATTCAGCCTACTGAGTCTTCCATGGCATCCAATCATGGTTAATATGTTTCCCAAGCCCATTCTTCGACCTTCTCCCCATAACCCTTGATTCCTTTACTAATCAAGAACCTATCTCTGCAGTAAAGACACTCAATGACTTGGCCTCCACAGCCCTCTGTGGCAGCGAGTTCCACAGATTCCCCATCCTCGGGCTGAAGAAATTCCTTCTCATCTCAGTTCTAAAAGGTGGTCCGTTCACTCTGAGGCTGTGCCCCTGGGTCTTAGTCTCTCCTACTAATGGAAACATCTTCTCCATGTCCAGGACAACAAGGCGTAGAGCTGGATGAATACAGCAGGCCAAGCAGCATCAGAGGAGCAGGAAGGCTGACGTTTCCGGCCTAGACCCTGAAGAAGGGTTGAGGCCCGAAACGTCAGCCTTCCTGCTCCTATGATGCTGCTTGGCCTGCTGTGTTCATCCAGCTCTACACCTTGTTGTCTCAGATTCTCCAGCATCTGCAGTTCCTACTATCTCTTCTCCATGTCCAGTCTATGCAGGCCTCTTGGTATTCTGTAAGTTTCAATTAGATCCCCCTCTCACCCTTCTAAACTCCATCAAGTACAGACTTAGAGTCGTAAACTGCTCCTCGCATGACAAACCGTTCAACCCGGGATCATTCTTATAAACCTCCTCTTGCCACCTTCTCCAATGTCAGCACATCTTTTCTTAGATATGAGTCCCAAACTCCTCACAATATTCCAAATGCAGTCTGACCAGAGCCTTATATGCCTCAGCAGTCCATCTCTGCTCTTGTATTCTAGCCCTCTTGAAACAAATGTCAACATTGCATTTGCCTTCCCAACTGCCAACTGAACTTGTATGTTAACCTTAAGAGAATCCCAAACTAGGACCATTTGCACTTCAGATTTCAGAGCCTTTCCCCATTTAGAAAGTAGTATACACCTGTATTCTTCCTACCAAAATGCATAACTTCACACTTACCCACATTGTATTCCATCTGCCACTTCTTTGTCCATTCTCCTAGTCTGTCCAGGTCCTTTTGCAGCCTCCCCACTTCCTCAACACTACCTGTCCCTTCACCTATCTTTGTGTCATCTAAAAACATAGCAACAATGCCATCAGTTCCTTTGATCAGATCATTAATGTATAACATGAATAGTTTTGATCCCAACACTGACCCTGCAGAACTCCACCAGTCACTAGCTGCCATCCTGAAAAAGACCCCTTTATCCCCACTCTCTGCTTTCTGCCAGTCAGCCAATCCTCCATACATCTCAAAACCTTGCCCCAACACCATGGGCTCTTATTTAGCAGCCTCCTGTGTAGCACTTTGTCAAAGGCCTTTTGGAAATCCAAATAGATCATGGGAGGTCATGTTGCAGCTGTACAGGACATTGGTTAGGCCACTTTTGGAATATTGCATTCAGTTCTGATTTCCCTACTATAGGAAAGATGTTGTGAAACTTGAAAGGGTTCAGAAAAGATTTACAAAGATGTTGCTAGGGTTGGAGCTATTTTCCCTGTGTGTTGGAGGCTGAGGGTTTTTTTTTAATCCATTAATGGGATGACAGCATTGCTGGCTGGGCAGCATTTATTGTCCATCCCTAATTGCCCAGAGTCAACCACATTGCTGTGGGTCTGGAGTCACATGTAGGCCAGACCAGGTAAGAATGGCAGTTTCCTTCTCTAAAGGACATTAGTGACCCAGATCAATTTTTCCTGACAATTGAAAATGGATTCACAGTCATCATTAGATTCTTAATCTAAAAAATTTATTGAATTCAAATTCCACCATCTGCTGTGGTGGGATTTGAACCCAGGTCCCCAGAATGTTATTTGGGTCTCTGGGTTAACAATCCAACAATAATATCACGAGGCCACTGCCTCTCCCTTTAAGAAGTTTAAGGTGATCTTATGGAAGTTTATAAAATCATGAGGGGCATGGATATGGTGAACAGCGAAGGTCTTTTCTGCAGGGTTGGGGAGTCCAAAATTAGAGGGGCATAGGTTTAAGGTGAAAGGGAAAAGATTTAAAAGGGACCTAAGGAGCAACATTTTCATGCAGACGATGGTGCGTGTGTGGAATGAGCTGCCAGATGTGGTACAGGCTGGCACAATTACAACTTTTGAAAGGCGTCTGGATGGGTATATGAATAGGAAGGGTTTAGAGGGAAATGAGCCAAATGCTGTCAAACAGGACTAGGTTAATTTAGGATATCTGGTCAGCATGGATGAGTTGAACCAAAGGGTCTGTTTACATACTGTACATCTCTAACACTACGTCCACTGGCTCTCCTTTGTTTAACTTGCTTGTTACCTCCTCAAAGAATTCTAATAGATCTATCAAGCATGACCTCCCGTTGATGTAAGCATGCTGACTCAGCCCAATTTTACCATGCATTTCCAAGTACTCCATCATCTCACCTTCAATAATGGGCGGCACAATGGTTAGCAATGCTTTCTCACAGAGCCAATTCAACTTTCGCCTTCGGGGACTGTCTGTGTGGAGTTTGCATGTTTTCCCTGTGTCTGCATGGGTTTCCTCCCATAGTCCAAAGATGTGCAAGTTAGGGTGGATTGGACATGCTAAATTGCCTGTAGTGTTCAGGGATGTGTACATTAGGTGGGTTATAGGGGGATGGGTCTGGGTGGGATGCTCTGAGGGCCGGTGTGGACTTGTTGGGTTGAAGCGCCTGTTTCCACACTGTAGGGATTCTATGACTCTAAAATCTTATCAACAATCCAAGCCAAGCTAACCAGCCTATCATTTCCTGTCTTCTGTGCTCCTCCCCTTCTTAAACAGAGGTGTTGCATTAACCATTCTCCAGTCCTCTGAGGCTATCCCTGACGAGATTGATTCTGAACCCTGGGGTGAAATTCATCTGGTGTGAGTGATTTATCTGCCTTCAGACTTTTCGGGGGTGGGAAAAGAAGGGAGGAGAATGAGGGTAGGGGATGTTAGGTGAGTGAAGGGGGGAGTGAGTGAGGGGAGCAGAAGTGAAGGGAGGATGGGTGAGTGAGGAGAGGAGAGTAAGGTCGGGGGGCATGAAGGAAGGGGGTCAGTGGATGACGGATTGGGGAGTAAGGAGCTGTGAGGAGGGATAGAAAGGGCAGGGATAAAAAGGCAATGAGTGGGGGAGGGGAGTGGGGAATAGGGAGGGTGGGGAAGGAGGTTGGAGGCACGAAGAGGAGAAGGGAATGAGAGGAGGGTCGGCGCTGATCCCTCAGTGAGCCACTTGTTTGCTAAGTTCAGTCTCTCTCTCTTTCCCCCCTCACTCGGTGTTTGTGTCTGTCTCTATCACATGGGCTACGGGCCGGGCTGCTGATTGGGCGGCGGTACGGTGCTTTTGATAAGTTTCACTGGGATCTTCCTGTTCCCCGGAGTTGCCAATGAGGACGGGCAGTCAGCAGTGCCTTGCAGGGACACGGGAATCCCGGTGCTCGCTATGGACAGCCTGGGTGAGTGAGTGAGAGAGAATGAGAGAGAATGAGAGAATGAGAGAATGAGAGAATGAGAGTGTGTGTGTGAGTGTGAGAGAGAGAGAGAGAGGTGGCGGCGGCGGCGGCTCCGTGCCCCCAGCTCCTGCCGACCCTGTCACAGCCACAGCCCCACAGTTCCATGTTGCCCTGTCCGCCTCACGTCCCTGAGTTAGGGACCCCCTCAGCCTCAGGACTCAGTGCACTGCGCACTCCTTCAGGTCACGGAGCCGCCGCGATTCATGTTCCCAGGCGGGTCTAAACAACTTTGACTTGAAGTCAATTACATTCTCCCCCGATCTGAATTGCTGCCGCTTCCTTCCTTTCCAGTGTGACACTCGCCCTCTTTTCTCCCCAAGCCACTTTCCGGAACATTGCTGGCTCTCGGTACACGGAGCTGTCAGTGGCTCGGCTTGCTAACACCCAGCCAGTTCTGCACTTGCTTCACATGGGATCCTCACATTGGCACCAGCAGCAATGCTTTAGCACTGAGGGAGCGCCGCACTGTCGGAGGGTCAGCGCTGAGGGAGTGCCACACTGTCGGAGGGTCAGCGCTGAGGGAGTGCCACACTGTCGGAGGGTCAGCGCTGGGGGAGCGCGGCGCTGTGGGAGGGTCAGCGGTGAGGGAGCGCGGCGCTGTGGGAGGGTCAGCGGTGATGGAGCGCGGCGCTG